AAAAAAATAAATTTGCTGTATAGCATTTCTAATAATCTGAAATTAGTTTGCTGCTTGTCGAATGAAACAGAATATTAACTAAGCACCAGACTGGAGCACAGATTCGGAACCAGCAATCCCACATGTAGGAAGTTACTTCACAAATAGGAAACAACACATCCACAAAGCTACTTACTGTAACATAATTGGTCATAGAAAACTAATGGACGCAAGGTACATGTTCATCAGCAGGGAACTGGTGAAATGAACTATGGTACGTTCATAAAATAGTCCTAAGCAGCAGTAAAAAAGAATGAAAATTTCTAATGAAAAATGAAGTGATTTCCAGGATATATTGTTATGTGAAAAAAGCACAGCGCAAAGGACACACACGCTCCCAGACATACGTGCTTATTGGAAAAAAAGAAAAGACAGAGGAAGGAGAAACCCAAAACTAATGAAAATGGTCACCTCTATGGGCTTGAGATGGGCCTGGGATTTCTTGGAATATACCCTTTTGTGTAGTTTTGACTTTGAACCATGTGAATATTTTACATGTTCAAAAATACATTTGAAAAGAGTGAAAAAAATCAAAATGCTAAAATTGAATAAAAGCAAACACAGTGAGCCTAACTGCATATGCAACTGATAACAAAAGCACACGGAGTGGACAGTTTAGGTGCCTTTGAGCTCAGCTCTCTGACCAGACTGCCTTCATGGGATGTCTTCTAAGGACCAAAAGAATTGGCTTTCCTCTTAGTATGTTTATTGTCAACAATGGTGGTGATGAGGCGGTTTTGGGTGTACTTTAAGATAGACTCTGTCTGATAGAGCAAATGAGTAACTACATGCAGTTTGGGAACCAGAATTCTCACTGGAGTGAGGGAAGATGGGCAAGAACTGTGATGTTGGATTGGAATTGGGGATTGCAGTGTGAACCCTTAAAAAAATATATTTCCGGGACTGGCCCCGTGGCCGAGTGGTTAAGTTCGCACGCTCCGCTGCAGGCGGCCCAGTGTTTCGTTGGTTCGAATCCTGGGCGCGGACATGGCACTGCTCAGCAAACCACGCTGAGGCAGCGTCCCACATGCCACAACTAGAAGGACCCACAACGAAGAGTATACAACTATGTACCGGGGGGCTTTGGGGAGAAAAAGGAAAAAAAAAATTTGTTTAATACAAAAAACGTATATATATATTTTCCAGTTTGATCCAGTGAAAGAGTCTGGAAGCAATGACACCCCAGTAACAATGGACATACCCTGCACCCAGACCTTGGTTTCTCAGTACCAGTCACCACTAAAAGGACCAGAGCTCCAGGGCTGGCCCCAGTGGATAAGTTCGCGTGCTCCACTTTGGCGGCCCAGGGTTCGCTGGTTCGGATCCTGGGCGCAGACTGAGCACCGCCTGTCAGGCCACGCTGAGGCGGCGTCCCACATAACAGAACTAGAGGGACCTACAACTAGAATATACAACTATGTACTGGGGAGCTTTGGGGAGAAGAAGGAAAAAAAATGAAGATTGGCAACAGATGTTAGCTCAGGGCCAATCTTTAAAAAAAAAAAAAAGAAAGGGGGGTGGGAAAGGACCAGAGCTCTTTGGAGAAACGGTTAATTTTAGGGCTGGGGCGGGAAATACACGAGCTGAGCCCGGAGCACCTTGTGGTGGTTGAACAATGAAAGAATGAGGCGTGTCAAAGGGACACAGGAGCCAGCTGGAGAGAAGCAAGCTAGAACAGCTTGAGCGTCCGAAAGGGTATGAACCATTTTGTAGAGGAGTGTGACGAGGAGCGGGCAGCAGGAAAGTGCTGTAGTGCTGGCAATATTCTCTATTTCTGCCTGGAGGGGATAGATACATGGGATATTCACTTTAAAGGTCTATTGTGCTGTACACTGATGATTTATGCACAGTACTGTACACATGCTGTAGACCAATAAAAATGATCCCCAAATGACACTCTTGGATTCTAAGTTGTTGAATAAAAAAATGATGCATCCACCATGATAATCGAGAAAAGAGAGCAGGGAAAAAGGAAAGCTCTTTATAGAGAAATACCAACTAACAATTGTGGAAAGAAAGAAAGCATCAGAAAACCAGAATTTTGGGGCCGGCCCGGTGGCGCAGAGGTTAAGTGCGCACGTTCCGCTTCAGTGGCCCGGGGTTTGCTGGTTCTGATCCGGGGTGCGGACATGGCACCGCTTGGCATGCACGCCATGCTGTGGTAGGTGTCCCACATGTAAAGTAGAGGAGGATGGGCACGGATGTTAGTTCAGGGCCAGTCTTCCTCAGCACAAAAAAGACGAGGATTGGCGGCAGATGTTAGCTCAGGGCTAATCTTCCTCAAAAAAACCCCCCCAAAAAACAAAACAAAACAAAACAAAAAAAGAAAACCAGCGTTTTGCAGCCACCGACACAATTCCTTCTGGCCAGGCTCACCCTTGGATGGTGAAACCGTTAGATGAAGGTTGCTGGGCACAGGATATGCACAGGGTTTCGAGGTATTACCCCAGATACTCGTGCATTAGGAAGGGAACATGCAACTTTGCAACGGAGAGACCTGGCAGCCACCACCTTGACCACTGAGCCTCCCCTCCCCTACAGTGGGACAGCCTGCTCCCGAGTGCCTGCTGATGCTGTTGGGGGGCAGGGGGAGGGGGACAGAAACTTGTCAGAGCACTTAGGCTGAATCTAACAAGGAAGGAATCAGGCAAATCCAGACTCTGGAACATTCTACAAGGCAAATGCTCTGGACTCTTCCAAAAATATTGTTGCCTGATTGCCTATGGAGAAGGGAGAGTTGGGAGAAGCAAAGGTGGCCTCCCACTGCCTGTCATTAAAAGCCTGGCTGAGTGGCATTGCCATTCATCGAGGTGGGTCGTGGAGAAAATGTGCGTGCTGAGGGGCTGCCCAGTGCTGGACGTGGGTGCTAAGAGGGAAGGAGCTGTGTCTGTCAGTCCCAGTGTGGCCAGCATTTGGGACATGGTGGGCACTCAGTGAGTGTGTGCTGAAGGAGAGCCAGGAGCTGTCTCAGAGTCCCACCCTGGAGATGTGGCCTGGAGCTCAGGAGAGAGGGCCCGGGTGAGCTGCAGACATGGGGGTGAAGCATAGAAATGGAAATGAAGGTGGACAAGCTCCCCTGGGGAGTGATACAGAGAGAGAAGAAAAGGGTCTGGGGACAGAGCCCTGCAGCCCCCCAACATTAAGAGGTAGAGCGTGTGGGAGGGAAGAACCAGCAAAGAAGCCAGAGAAGGAGTGAGCAGTGAAGTGGAAGAAAAAGCACGAGAGTGAGGGCAGAAGAGGGTGGGAGTGAGGACCGCCAGAGGTGTGCGGAAGGGGGAGGTCCTCAGGTGCCCAGGGGGGCCGCTCCGTCTGCTTGGAAGGTGACAGGGGTGGTTGTCTCTTGCGCAGGCTTTTCAGGACCCAGAGGTCTGAGGCTCACCACAGCTGCCACATCTGCTCCTTGGAGTGCTTGGCCTGGCCAAGCAGCGGCCCTGTCAGATCTATTGGACCTGGCTAGGCCTGTAAGGTGCCAGCAAATTGTGGGCACAGCTAATTTCTCGCTTGGGCACCTCCAAGTCAACGAGCCCCACCCCAAAGCAAATGCTGCTCTCCTCTGAGTACCCCCCTCCTCCCACGTGCCCTCAGGAAATGGTACCACAAGCATCTCATTCCAGGTGCTAGACCATTTCTGTCTGAGAGGCCGCTTTAGCTGGGCCCTTCACTCATCCTGCTGTCTCCTAGTATCATTGTGATCACAACAGAGCCTGCGAGACGCAAGATGTCCCTGGGGCTCAGGGATTGTCCTGAGGCCACTGCCCTAGGGGCAGGCAGAGGGTCTCAGGGCCCCACAGTGGGCAGGGGACAAGGGATAGCAGTGGGTCAGCACCCACACCCCGGGTGGACACTTGGCTTGGAGGAGCATCAGGCCTGCAGTAAACATTCTGACCCCTGTTGAAGGATCTCAGCAGTTGGAGCCTGCAGGTGTACATGGGGCCACCCGTGGTATCTAGGGGCAAAGGTGGGGTGCAGCCTGTGACCCCTCCATCTTCTCATGGAGTCCTCAGTCTCCTCTCATGACGGCTGGGGCCTGGACAAGAGCTTCCCCGGCCTTGTCCTACCGGGGCCTCCCATCTCTTATCCCGGCAGCATTTCCTCCCTCTCTTGTCTTCCCGCCCTCAACCTGCCCACCCCTGCCCTGCCACAGCTACATATTCCTGCACAGACAAGTTTCTGGAATGAGGGGTTCCCAGTCACTGACACTGACTCCTCCCCTACCCACCCTGCAACTGCTTCTTGCCCCCCAACATCAGCGATGACCTTCTCCTTACTAAGGCCAGGGGTGGCTCCCTCTTGCCCTCACTTTGCCTGTTGGGAGCACTGGACAACCCCCCTTCCTGGAGGGGCATTCCTGGCTTCCGACACCGAGCTCTCCCCGTGGCCTTGTGTTTGGGCATGCTCCTTGGCCTCTACCACATCTCCAGTCAGTAAAGTTCCTCAAGGCCCAGTCCTTTCCCCTCTTCATGCCACACTCTCGGGGATGCCGCCTCATCCGTCCTCAGCCTCTAGGGTGCCCTGTCCACAGGTAACTCCTGAACATTGTTGTCGAAGGCTGCACAGGGCTTTGGAATCGGACCTGGCCTGGGTGCCAGCCAGCTCTTCTGTCAGCAAGGCTCCCACCACACACCCTGAAGACTCCACTCCTGTCTCCATGTCCAGCCCAATCTCTCCGCTGAGTTCCTGCCCCCATATCCAACTGCCCAGTGAATGGCTCCTAACCACGACATGGCTCTGTCATTCCTGAGTGGAGAGGCGCTGACACAAGGGACTCAGTGACCATCTAAGGTCTGTCTGAAACTCACATCCGCGTGTCACTCCCCTGCAGTGGACCAGTCAGCCCTCCCCGAGAACCTGGCTTTTGGTTGAGAATCCCCTTCTCCCTCCGGCAGCCCATGGGTGTCCAGGTGCCTGGCCTCCCACTGCCCACCTCATCCCCAGCCAAAATGATCAGAGGCACAATCTGGTTCTGACCAACGAAAGGACTGTTTATTTGTCAGGGGCATCTGAGAAAAAAGCTACACTACAGGGCAAGTAGGTGCTCCTTGCTGGCTGTGAACGAGGGATTCAGTGGAATCTTCAGGCAGCCATCTTTTGATCCTGAGGCGGCAGCCTGGGATGAAGCAGACACTGCAGAGTGCAGAAGGGAGGTAGGAAGAAACTGGGTATTTGGTGAAATTGTTCATCTGCTGCCAATACCGCTGGACTTCTCAGCTTCGTAAACCAGTAAGTTTCCTTTATTGTTTAAACCAACTTCCTCTATGGTTAAACCAATTATTGGAAACCAAAAGCAGCCTAGCTAATATAGTTCCTTTTGGATAAAAGTCAAGGTCTCATATTCACCTTTAGTGCGATTTAAAATTTCAACATAAACTTCCTGACTCAAAATAAATGAGAGCATTGGTAAGTCACATGAGCTGCCAGACCACACAGGCTCCTAAGCAGGCCCTGTTTTCTATTCTCGGCTCTCAGGTGGGGCCAGGGGCTTCTGTGGACTCTTCAAAGCCTTCGCCCCTTAGGCCTCTGTTTGTCTTCCCATCCTGGGGACCCAGTGTTCACCCAACAAGGCCCAGGCAGGAGGGCAGCTTCCTTCCTGCCTTGGCCATCCCAGATGCCCTCCTCTAAGGAGCAGGTGCCCAGATGATCTCTAGTGCCCACACCAGGCAGGGTGGGAGGACCACTACCACCAGCCCATGCTTCTTCTCCCTCCCCAGCACCCTGAGGTCTCCTCTCAGCCAGTGAGGGGTGTGCAAAGTGGAAGCCCTTGTACACACATGGCAGGGGAAGGGGCCCTTCCACGCTGTGGGTGAGCACAGGGTACAGGGGCCTCGTCGAGGCCTAGCTCTGGCACTGCCTTGAGTGACCTCAAGCCAGTCACCTGTCATTCCTAGGGGGTGAGAACTGCCCATGTCCAGGAGGAGACAAGCAGAGAGGGTGCCTAGACAACAGCTGTGACACTAAGGGCTGGGACACCTCATCTCTGGGCCATGTTTGGCCATTACTCCACTTTTGGCCTCAGTTTGTTTATGGAACATGACGGGGAGGATGGCTGCCGACTCCTCACCCTGGTGCTGGGGTAAGGATGAAGGAAATTGACTGAGGTTTAAGGACCGGCCCTCATTGTGCAGAGCTAACAGCTGGGGACCAACATGGCACAGGGACTTGCTTGAAGTCACACTACAGAGCTGGGCGTTCATCCCCGATTCCCCAACCTGCTTGTCTCTCGTCGAGTGCACTCTGGCTGCAGCAGCTGAGGGGCCTCGGGGCTGGCTGTCACCTGGCCTCCCACCAATGCTGGACCACCTGTCAGGTGACAGGACTGGGCAGCAGGGGCCAGCTGCTTCCCCTTTCAGGCCTGGAAAGGAGTCACTTGAGGGTTTATTCTCAGTGGGCTAAACATGAAATGCCAGAGCCCATCCCTCGGAGCCCTTCCAAACAGCCCCTCTCTCCTTCTTACCCTGAGGCACTTCTAGAAGCTGGCTGGACTCAGGTTCTGGCTCTCTCACTTCACTGCCAGGAGCCTCGGCTGTCCCACCTTCTGTGCGAGGTGCCTGGCACCTAGCGAGAGCCGGGTCCGGACACCTGCCAGCTAGTATTATTGTGAGCCAAATTGCAACATGAGAACACATTTAATGCTACATGCAGCTTGCAGCCTGGCTGCACTCCTCCCCACACTCCAAGAATCCTCTTAGGAGAACCCCTTCTCCATAGCTTCAGTCACTTCAGGGTGCAGGAAGCGGCTAGCCAAGCGTTCGATGTCATCCAGAGTCAGGCGGCTCAAGGACCTCTCGTAATCCTGAGGAGACAAGGCCAGGAGGATTCAGGGGGTGTCAGTGCGGGGTACACGGTGACAGAGGTGGGGGCTGGGAGCAGCGGGGCCAGGAGGGGCCAGCCAGGGCTCCCTCTCACCCTCTGCAGTTGATCCAGGACTCTGCTGGCATCTGCAGCGCTGAAGTGGCGGGCCAAGACTTTGGAGATCAGCTGCCAGGCAGGTGGGGGTGGGGCCGGGGTCTCAGCCAGTCTCCGGGTAGTGCTTTCTTCCAGTAACACCTTCTCCAGAGGTCTGACCACTAGGTTGAGCTTGGAATTGGGCCCAATGCTGTAATCGGAGAGTCTCTTCCCATCTGTCAAAGAGAGATTAAGTTGTCACCCACAGCGGTGGGGGTGGCTTCAGGGAGCCCAGGCCGAGCGCTGCCGCAGCTGGCTGAGGGGGGTTCGGCCACCTCCCGGAGGGTCCAGCGGCCAGTGCGCCGTCCCTCACACGCTGCCCGGGCTCGGCCTGGGTATCCTGTCCCCCGACTTCCTGCGGGGCTCCCTGGACGTCTCTCCCCGGTTACCTGCCAGGGCCTTGCCCTTGAACAGCAGCCGCTGCTGGCGCACCGGGACGTTCAGTTTCTCGGAGACCAGATGTTTCAGCGTGGACACGAGCTCGTCCTCCGACACCTGGCCGGGCCGAGGGTGGGAGGCCGGGGTTGAGCCCGCATGCCCGCCGAGGGCGCTCTCCCGGCCTCCCCGGCGCAGCCGGCCCGCCCGCCCCGGCCCCGGCCCCGGCCCGCCCGGCCCTGCGCCCGGGGCTGGGGGTGAGGGCGCGAGCCGGCCCGGCGGCGGGGCCCGGCGACGCTACCTGCAGGCTGCACTCGCGGCCCTGGAGCGCCTTCACCGTCAGCTGCATGGCGGCCGCGGCGGCGTCCACTCCGGCCGGCACGCACCCAACAGCCCGCCGCGCGCCGCCGCCCCGGGCGCGCGCCGGAACCTCCCGCCGCCGCCGGAAGCCGCGAGAGGGGCGCGCCCCGCCCCGCCCCGCCCCGCCGGCCCCGAGGAGGAGTCCCCGCGGCGCCCCGCCCCGCCAGCGGGCGGGGACCGGCTGGGCTGACGGGTCCCCTGGGACGACGGCGCCGGAAGCCGGCCAGGACGGGGAGGAGGAACGGGTCAGGCCGGCTCGCCCTCCTCTGGGCGGGGAGCGCCGGCCTGGCCGCCCCGCGGCTGAGCAGGTCAGCGCAGGCGGCCCGGCTGTGCCTCGCAGCAGTCCCCACACGGCCCAGCCTTGCCAGGGTTGCTCCGGTGCCCGCGGCGGGCTGCTGCCTCCTCCTTTCCAGTCTGGCTGAAGAAAACCAGCTGAGCTTGGGAGCAGGCAGGGGAGCCAGGCCTCTGCCCGCATCCTCCCGCGGCTCATTCTAGAACAGAGACGCCTACCTCTCACAGAGAGGGGATGCCTGGGGAAGGCAGGCTGAGAGAGAAAGTCTGTGCAGAGGTCACCTTGTCACTCAAGCCAGTCCTCCACCCTGGCCCACACCTACCCAGTCACACCCTTCCTACCCCCAACCCCAGGCCCCAAAGGGCAAAAATTGGAAGGGACCCAAGCTTGCTTCTCTCTTTTATTGAAATATATTTTCTGGGCAGTGCCTACCTACCTAAGTCAGCATAGCCTCTTTGGCACTGAAAGCTGGAGAATAAAAAACCAGTAAAAAACATCAGCCTGGATTTTTGTGAGTGCATAGTGCATGAGAACTAAAGGCCTTTGGTACACAAGAACTGTGGGGACAGTGGGTGGAGGGTGGGGGCTAGGGGCGGCGAAAGCTTGACCCAGGGGCCTCAGGGAACTGGGCACAGGCTGCTATAGATGAAGTGGCCAATGACTAAGGCCAGCATCTCCGAGGTGCCGCTCAGTGCCACGATGAAGGGGGCCTGGGAGGCATAGTTGGCTTGAAGGCGGCGGAGGGACAGCTGCAGCATGGCCAAGGCCAGCAGGCTGTTCTGCACTCCTACCTCAATGCTGACCGTCCGCCGCTGGGCCACTGGCAGCTTCAGGCATGTGGCCAGACAGTAGCCCACCAGGAGGCCAACCAGGGGCACTGTGAGGCCCACCAGCACGATGGGCAGCCTGACGCCCGCCAGGATGAAGACCCCCATGCGGTAGGCCAGGAAGAGGCCACCCAGGAGCAGCACAAAGCTGAAGGGCTTGATAACCTGGAGCAGCAGTTGGGAGAACTTGGGGAGCTTGGACTTGATCACTACGCCTGCTGCTATGGGGATGGCAATGAACAGCAGGGTCCCCAGGATCTTGGAGATGGGCACATGGAGTGTTTCGTGGATGCTGAGCAGGCGGCTGTAGACGGCTGAGGACAGTGGCAGGAAACCAGTGGCAGCCACCGTTGAGATGAAAGTCATGGAGATGGCCAGAGTGACGTCCCCTCCAAGGAGGAGGCTGAAGAGGTAGCTCCCCCCGCCGCCAGGCGACGAGCAGGTGATGATGAGGCCCAGAGCCAGGGCCTTAGGCAGCATGAAGACCTTGGCCATCAGGAAAGCAAAGAAGGGCATGACCAGAAACTGGCCCAGGAGGCCCAGCAGCATGGGCTGGGGGCTCTGCAGGAGTCCCTTCAGAACCTTGAGCTCCACTTTGCACCCGAACGAACACTTGTTGACAAAGATAAGAGGCAGGAGCAAATAAAGTATTGGGTTCTCTGAGAAGTGGATCAGGTCGGCGCCGAGGGTGGTGGGGGAGTCTTCGGCAGGTGAGACCTTGATGCAGAAATCTCTCCGCTCCTCGATCAGCATGGGTGGGGCCTTGTGGGGATCCACAAGCTGGATGTGGAGTGGGGCTAGCCCGGGCAGGCCTGAGTGGATGCTCACCACAAAGCCGCCCCCACCGCCCCAGGTTATGGCACTCACATTCTTGATGGTCAGCACCTCTGTGTCCAGGGAAGTGACTCTCAGCGTGGGACCAGGCCCTGTCCTGTTGCCCTGGCCTGGGTACTGGCTCGAGATCACAATGATGCCCTCACTCTCCTCTGGGAACTCAAACTCCATCACAGAGCCATCCCCAATGCTCAAGTAGCGGCCCCCTGTCAGTGGCACAGTATGGCCCAGAGCCGTGCTGAGGTTGGCACCGGCAATGGCTGTTCCCCAGACCCCCCACGGTAGGCTGACAAGCAGCAGGGCAGCCTTGAGCATACCTAGGCAGCCTGTGCAGCCACTGCCCCCTCCTGGGCCAGGCCACTGCTGGGAGCTGCCCCTGCCCCTCCTAAACACCATGGCTCCTCCTGAAGGATGGTGAGCCCAGGCTCTCTGCGGCTTAGGAGAGCAGCCCTGCTGGTACCATTGGGTTGTCCTGAGAAGGGTCCATAGGCACGGCCCAGCCCTGTGCTGCCTTCCTTGATGGCAGAGCTCTTCCTGAGGAGAGAAAGGACACAGAGAGATGGCTGGTGAGGGTGAGCAGCTGTGAGCCCAAGAGCCTGGGGATCTGGAAGCCCACTGTTGGGCGACTCAGTAGGACCCCTTGCCCCAAGCCCAGGAACAGAAAGGCAGTGCCGAGTGCTGATCCTTGAGTGCCATTCGGTTGTCCTCTCCCCCAGCACAAGTGCCTCAAGCTTCTCATCCCTCACCCAGAGGAGCCACCCACAGGTAGGAGTTCCCGTTCAGCCTGCTGGTACCTGCTGATTTACCGGGACTTGCCCAGCACAGTGACCATGCAGAGACATCCTGATACCAAAGGGTTTGAGAGAGCCACCCCCAATCCTGTCACCACTAGCCTGTTCCCCACCAGCTTCGAGATGCAGCTACAGCGGGGCCGCAGCAATCCCACAACCAGGATGAAATCTCTGAAAGGCTGCCCAGGGATGACAAGGAGACAAGCTCAAGGAGAGCAAAGGGTGCTGATAGGAAACACTGGCTTGGGCCAGATTTGAGAGGCCTTCAGAGAGCAGGTTATGGCATTTGAGTGTCATCTGACAGGTAGAAAGCAGCCAGCAAAGTGGTGTGGGCAGTGGGTGACCATCTGGTTGAAGGCCCCAGGGGCTGATGTCCACCACCAACGTGAAGTTGTGAATGGTGCCACCGTGGCTCCGTGGCCTCCCCTACCTGCTGACAGTGGGGAGATGAGGGTTCTGGGGTGGAGCAGGTCCCATCTCCCCAGGGAAGTTGCTGGAAGGGGCAGCAGGAGGGGGTCAGATAGGATCCGATGTCTGCGGGGGGACTTCCTCTCCTTCAGAGCTCCCACTCCTCTGGCAGTCCCAGAATTTGAGCTCCTAGAGCCGCTGTGTTACATCTGAGAGGCTCTGCTTGGAGTCCAGGGGCTCCTCCCCATGCCCACATGCGCCCTACCAGAGCCTGGAACTCCCAGTGGGACTATGAGTGTTTCTCATAGGCGAGGTGCCTCAGGCTGAAAGGAGGAGGTTTGGGCAGCCACCACCCAATTGTCACATCACCTGCTGGGACTGGAGCAACCAGGATGGGGACACAGTGGCTTTTCATCACTACTGTCAGTTGCCTCACGTCCTGCAGTGTCCCAGTCCTGTTAGAGGCCCCTGCCTCTCTAGATCCTATCAGTCTTTGTCCCTGCCCCCATCCCCCCACCCCATCCTGAGACTGGGGAGCCAAGCCGCAGCGGGTGGAGGGCAGGTTAAGCAAAAGGTTCATCCCTGGGAAAGTCTCCCCCATCCCCCTTGGGATGCCATGGCCTCGGCTTGTTTGGAGTTTAGGTCACTTACCGTGGAGGCCTTGGTCCAGCCTTGTGTCCCACCGTTGAAGAGGGAGGCAGGAAAACCAGAGGGAATATGACAAGCAAAGTGGAGGAGAGTCACAGGGAAAAGATGAAGGCACCCAGGACTGAAGCCACCGCGGTGGCGTGAGCCAGTTCAGAAGGGAGAGGAGGCTAAGGGTCATCCACCCTGTCCTTCCAGTAGGGTAGGCAGCTTTGAGTCACTGCAAGAGGGGTCTGGCCCAGATCCCACACCATTTCTGCTTGAGGGGCCGGAAGAGTTTCAGCAGATGCACCACAAGGCAAGGGAGGGAACCCCAGGCTGGCTGCTTTTTCCACACTGGCCAAAGGTTCCGTGTTAGGGCAGTTGGCAGTGCTGACCCGGAGCCCCTTCCTACCTGGAAGTCCGGAAGTTGTCAGATTGAGCTCGAGCAGAGCTCGGGCGCGAACAGGGGATGGAGGGAAGGAGGAGAGCGCTGCCGCTGGGCTCGCGCTGCCGCCCCGAAGCCGGCAGGCCGGCGACCCGCCCGGGCGGTCCCGGGGTCGCGGAAGGGGGCCCTCGCGCCCCTCCCAGGCTCCGCGGCCGCACCAGGCCTCACTTTCGCGCGGCAGCAGTCCTCCGCCTGGCCCGGCCGCCCGAGTCGGCGAGCGCGGAGCCGGGCCGGACCCAGAGGCCGCCTTCCGCCCGCCCTTTCAGGCCCCAGGCTCTCACCTGCCGTCGCGGCCCCGGAGCTCGGCGCCACCGGGCCTGCCCGGCCGGCGGACGCCTGCGAGCTCGGCAGGCCAGGGCCCCGCCCCGCCCCCGACCAGCTGAGGCACCGCCCCCGGTCAGCCGAGGCCCCGCCCCACGGGCCCGCTCCGCCTCCCCCACGGAAACAGGCTCTCCTCAGGCTGCCGGGTCGGTTCCGACCGGATGTGACGTATCCGGGAGCGACGAGCCGGCGCGGTCCCTCCGGCCTGGCCGCCTTCCGGATCGCGGTTGGTCGGCGCTGGACGCGGCTTCTTGCGGCTGTCGAGCTGCAGTTCCGAGTTTTCTGTGGTTGCCGCCCGGGTGACGTGCTCCGGGTAGGGGCCATGGTCATTGCCAAACACATTGCGACCTCTGGGGGCAGTGAGACACAGGGCTAGCCATTAGCAGGACTGGGACGCCCAGGTACTGCTGCTATTGGCGGGAGCCCGGGGTCACGGTTTCGGCACGTTCCGGCTCCGGGCGCCCAGCCCTATGGCCCCAGGGCCGAGTCCGACCCACCCAGACTCTGGGGGCCAGGCTCGACCTGGTTTCAGCTTCCTTCATTCAAGCATTGACTGAGTGCCTGTTTCCACACTGCGGAACATCAGTGGACTTGTCCACCTTTCCAAACTTTTTGGCGCCACCAGCAAGGTCTGGCGACTTCACGGAAAAGGAATGCAAACAGATGGCATAAGGATGGGCAGAAAGGTGGTAAGGGTGTAGAAAGGACATGGGAAGACTAAGCAAGTGCATAGTTGAAGGGGATTTGCACGTTCCCAAAGGCTGCTGGGCACCTGCAGTCTGCCAGCGGATCACTGGCTACCCACTGCTCTGGGAGGACCTCGTCACGGCTTTGATGGAAACCAGTGGGCCCCAGAGTTACAGGTGCTTGCCCCCGGAGGTGCACAAGACACTTCACTGAGAATGTCCCCCAAAACTCCATAGCATCTCTATTTTTATTTAACTTTTCAAATAAATAATTTTAATAAGTATTAATTTAAATGTAAATGTAAACACATTTTATTTTAAAAATTTATATTTGTGTGTTTTATAAAGTTCAGATTAGTGCGTGCATATGATACGTAAGCAGGTAGATGTACACATGATGGCAGTGCATGCTTAAGAGGGTTTGATTTAGGTCGGTGATTAAAAACATTCAGAGGCCATAACTCTGGGCTGTTCTTTAGCCTCAGAGGACCAGTAAGGCGTAAGCCATTTGTGTGTGTGGACTTGGTGTTCCAGAACTATTGCATTGTCCCTCTCAAATAGGGTTGAAGGGTCCTGATGGAAGCAGGCTGGCACAAGTGAGAGGGGAGGGCTGGGCTTGGCACATGCTGCGTTGAAGACTGCAGTTTGCAAAAGGGCAGTCGGGGTAGGGCTGTCCAAGGACAGGGTAAAACTGGCTAGAGGTAGAAGGGGAATGGGTCAGCAGAAAGAGCTGGGGGAGGAAAACCTAAAAGAGGTGTCCTCCCTGGAGGAAACCTGCGTTTTTATATTCCAACTGAATGGGAATGGGTGCCGGGGGTCAAGGAGACCAGATGTAGTCAGAAGGCTGCTCCCCATTGTCGTCAGTCACTTCAGCCATCCCTGAAAAGCCAGAGTGCGCTGGTGGGATGTCTAACATGAGGGAATTTGGAGGCCTTCTCTGCAGGAAAAAGGGACGGCTTAATTAAAGGCAAGGAAATGTTCATAGTTGGGTCAGGGTATTACCAAATTACCCCAGAAGAGGAGGAAGGGCTCTACAAATCAGTCCAGGATATTTAGTTCCAAAAGAGAAGTCATCTGAACTGAGAGAACACATAGAAGGAATGATAGGGACAGCCAAACAGCAGAAATGTACTTCAGATGGGAGACCTGCCACTGTAGTAGGTAATAGGGTCACAATGGTGACCTTGAGCAGTGTGCCCACCTCCTGCTCTCCAGGCAGGGGCCTCCAGGAATGCTCGGTGATGAATAAGCAGGCATGGAAGGCACATTCTCTACAAGCACAAGTACGGGATGCAGGTGGTATTTGCAGGGAAGTGTAATGACCACTGTTGTTTCTGCTTGCCCGGCATCAGGTCACAGCACCTCAATTTCCTTTGGGGGAACCATCCCTCCTCCAACCTCGGTACCCAAAGTTTGCATGTGGATGGTCCCAACGCTGGCCTCCGGTGGGCCCATGCCCAGATGTAGCCAACCAGAGCCACACAGATTGATGCAAGGATAAGCCCATAATCCAATTTGGACCAATGACAGTCCCCGGGGACTTGTACGCGATCTATTGGGAAGGTGGGACCACTTTTTTGCTGGGGTTGCTAAACTGGGACCTCTCTCTTGCTCCCCGTACTTGAGGGAGACAGCATGTTTGAAAAGGAAGCAAATACAGAGAAAAACGAAGCCGAAATGGAGACAGCCCGTGTCTCAATGATCCCGCTGACATTATTGGAGCTAGAACCACCCATGGGCATTGGGATCTGTTACAGGAACAATAAGTCTCCTTCCCTTGTCATTACTTATTTTTGCTTATGCCAGTTTGAGTTGGGATGCTGGCACTTGTAGCCGAGGATGTCCTAACTCCTCAAGGGTAGGCCTGAGGATACAGCTTTACCTCCACTTTGGAAGGTCGTGCAGGCTGTGCCCCACACCACCATCAGCTTCCTAGCCTGTGCTGGGCCAAGTGGGGGAGAAAGCTGGCCTGCTGTTTCCATTGGTGTAACTCTGGTGACCCTCGGCGAGGGCACAGCCTCTTGGGGAGTTAGGGGCCATCAACGGGGCTCACTCCCACCTTTCCAGCATGTAACACAGAGCCTGGCCCAGGGCAGGCACCTGGTGAATGTCTGGGGAAGGTCAGGCAATCACAGCAGTGGTTTGACAGGCACCGTGGGGCCTAAACACCTCCCAGCCTTGCAGTATGGAGCTTCATGAGCTTCCATTTCATCTAGAGCAAGCACTAACCTTGCAGAGCCCTACTTATCTGGCTTCTAACTTCCGAGCTCCAGTGAAACTCTCCTAAGCTCACCAGGGACTTTTATCACTTCTGGAAATGGGGCTAACGGCAGGGCTTTCTTGCTAGGGTTGCCGTGAGGACCGTTTAGGTAACATGTGTATAACCGAAGTCCTGATGGAAGAACTAAGGTGAGATTTGCTTCAACATATTGGGCTGTAGGGGGTGCAGATGAAACACTGGCCACATGCTGATCACTGTGACAGTTCCGATGGGCACACTGAGGTTCATTATACTATTCTACTTTGGGGGACATTTGAAATTTTCCATAATCAAAGGTTTAAAAAATGAATACCTGGGGGCTGGCCCCATGACCGAGTGGTTAAGTTCATGCGCTCCGCTTCGGCGGTCCAGGGTTTCGCCCGTTCGAATCCTGGGCGCGGACATGACACCGCTCATCAGATCACGCTGAGGCGGCATCCCACATGCCACAACTAGAAGGACCCACAACTAAAAACACACAACTATGTACCGGGGGCTTTGGGAGAAAAAGGGAAAATAAAATCTTTAAAAAAAAATGAATACATGTATGATACTATAATGGTGGATACACGTCATCATACACTTGTCAAACTCACAGACTGTATAACACCCAGAGGGAACCCTAATGTCAACTCTGGGCTTTGGGTGATGATGATGTATCAGTGGAGGTCGGGTATGTGGGAACTCTCTTCCTGCTCAACTTTGCTGTGAACCTAAAACTGCTCTAAAAAAGAAAGTCTATATAAAAAAAATGAATACACATAAAGCGCTCCGCACAGGGTCTATGATCACCACCCCCGGGCCGACGCGTCCCCAACCGTTTGTGGTCCTGGCAGCACAACCACAGCCTCTCCTTCTGGGCTGTCCCTTGGCCTCTCACTCTTCTTCTGCCTGCTCCTTAAATACTTGTTTCTTGACATTTTGTTTGCACTCTGGCAGCACTTACTCCTAGAAGGCAGAGGCTCGGGAAGCCTGTCTCCAGAACCGGACTTGTAAGTCCACCACGCCCGCCACGGCCCCCTCGAGGCTGCCTGGCTGGCACCCTAATTCCTCCCATCCAGGAAGTCCAAACTGCCTTCTCTCCTTTTGCTGACCCCAGACCACTTCTGTGTCCCTGGATGTGCCATTCCAGTAAAACTCCTTACAGTTTCCTGCTGGTTCTTGCTCAGTGGAGGGAAATGTAACTGCGATCTGTGAGAAATGCCAAACAGCCCACATGACTTGGCCCTTTGCAGCCCTGATTTCAAAGGCATCCACCAGCCCGCTGTGGGGAGACACTAGCTCCTGAGGGAGGCTGGGTGGAGAGGGAAGGCACTTGGGCTGGTTTTAATCCCCATCCCTGTCCCTACAGGCCTGTGCTGTGTCCGAGAGAGCTGCGTGAGTTTCCTGCAGCCTCAGAGGGCAGAACCATCTCTCTCAGGTAAGGCTATGGGGATGCCAGTTGGGGAGCTCCTCTGCTCACCGCCTGAGTCACACCTCAGCTACAATGGACCTGTTGGTGGCAGGAGCCCTGGAGACAAAGGCTGTCTGCTAAGGCTGTGGGGGCAGGTCAGCTGAGCCTCCAGGACATGTCCCTCCCCCTGACACCACCAGCCCTGACTCCCCACTGAATGTACTTCATTCCATCGAGGGCCACCAATTTATTAAGAGGTCATCTAGAAGGCGGGCCCTCTGATAAACTGCAGGAGCCGGAA